GGGTGTTCTGCCAATACAGACCGGGGGACTTTTCTGCCATTCAGTGAACCATGGCGGTGCATTCTCCAACAAAGTCTGGATCTCGGCTAGCAGGGTCGGGGCGTGAAACCTGTTCCTTGAGTGCTCTATTTTGACCATAGGAATATCTGCTACTCCTACATTTTTTAGAATTCTCTTTCTTTCTTTCTAGCCTATCTCTTGTTACGGTTAATAATTTGTTACACTAAACTGTCCCTGTTCTACTTGTCTGGTTTCTGTCTCTTGATTGGACCCTGATTAATAATGAATGAGTAAGTGAAACGTTAACATTCCCAGTTGTTCTGAGAAGTTTATATGTTGTCTATAAGATGAATGATGCAGATTTTTAAGAAATGACTATTTGTGTTGAACAGATATACTGTTAGCAATGATTAATCAAATGAAAAAATGTAAGTAAAACAATATGTGGATCATGGTCCTATTTCTGCTTAAAAAATCTGTATAGATACATGTGAGTTCATATTTATAAATGCATAGAGTAATTTGGAAGAATATACAGAATCCTCTGGAGAGGGGAGACGGAGAGATTAAAGGGATGGTGAAGAGGAACTTTCATTTTTTTATTTTATAAAAAGTGTAATGAGCATTTGTTACTTTTATAATTACAGTAATTAAATTCTTTAAATTTTGTGACTTTGTTGGTAATTTTAGAAATTGAAAAGAAAACCTTGTGGGAGGAAAGGGAAGGGAACTAACAATTATTGAGTACCTATTATATTCCAGACACTTTCCATACATTATCTCATTTAATCATAACTAGGTAAAATAGGCATTATCCTTTCTGTTTTACAGATAAGAAAACTGGGCTCAGAAAAATTAAGCAATTTCTTAAGTTTATATGGTTAGAATTCTGTCTGGAGTCCAAGTCCCGCCCTTTTCTCAGTATACCAGCATTTCTTAAACTGCATTTCATAGACCTGAGAGGAGGCCCGTAGATGTGCTTTCAGAATCCATGAACTCCATAGACAATTATTAATGTCAATGTGTCATTTTAATGATAATCTTTAAATAGACATGTTATGGATCTTCTGGAGAATTATCTTAAAAGAGCACTTTCAGGACATTTGAATTTTGCTTTGTGTTTATGCTAGTGTTGTTACCAAATCCAGCACTACCTCCCGGGCCAATCAGAAGAGAACAGAGTGGAACTTGGTAATGCATTTACATTAAGGGAGGGCCAAATTATATCAAATATCTGGTTCAGAAAGAAAAAGGTGGAAACAAACAGTTCTCATTCTGTACATGGTAGTATGTGCACATTAAATTCAAACTCAAAATCTGTGCCTTAGTGTGGTATTCGTGTTTGGAATAGTGATTTTAATTTTAGCCAAAAATTACTGTATTACATTAATGTTCTTATACTTAAATCTTCTTGGCTTTGTAGTTGTGTTATTATTTAAATTTCAGTTTATTTTGGTTTTATAATTGCAGAACAGATGTATGCACAGGGGTTTGTACCTGGTTTTATGCTCATACATCAAGTAACATTAAAATAATTTAAAAGTCAACATTTGAAAATGAAAAAAATGTTTCCCTTTAAAGGGGACGATACATTACTCAAATCTGAGAAGACTGCTATTTTATCACACGACTTCTCTCTAGATACAGAAAAGGACATTAAAAAAAAAAAAACCTTAACTACATTATAAATATGATGACTGGCTTTTGGAAACAAAATCTAGATGCTTAATCTAACAATGATACAGAATTCAGGGAATGTAGGATGTAGTGCTTTAATTATAGTGCCCACCTGGAGAGAAACTGAAGGAAGGCAGATTCCTGGGTAGATCATGTCAGACCTCTCAGGGACCACTCCTGGTGGAATGGAGAGTTCTGACTGTGCAGACCAACTTTCTTTTTTTTGAGACAGAGTCTCACTCTGTTGCCCTGAATAGAGTGCCGTGGCGTCAGCCTAGCTCACAGCAACTTCAAACTCCTGGGCTCAAGTGATCCTCCTGCCTCAGCCTCCCGGGTAGCTGGGACTATGGGCACGCGACGCCATTTTTTCTATTTTTAGTTGTCTGGCTAATTTCTTTCTATTTTTAGTAGAGACAGGGTCTTGCTCTTGCTCAGGCTGGTTTCAAACACCTGAGTTCAAGCAATCATCCCAGCCTCCCAGAGCGCTAGGATTACAGGCGTGAGCCACTACGCCCGGCTTCAGACCAACTTTCAAGCACAAATGTGTATATATTCTTGGTAACCCTCTCTAGCCAGTGTTCTATGATTAAAACAAATAAAAGATAAAGTTTTTTTAGCATGCAAGTGCCAAGTCTCTAGAAAGTATCCGTGTGATTCAGTAGCCATTCTACTCTGAGAAAGTAGGTTGTCAACAGGAAGACAATTTGGGACCCAAATGGAGCAAAATCTCCCAACTTGTATCTGCTGGGCACAAGTGGTCTTAATATACAGAAAAAACAGCCAGGCCCACAAAGCTCTAGTCAAGATTGTGGATTTAAATATTATGGCTCAGGGCCACTAAAACAGGATGATAGACATGTTTGTGGACTCAGTATTGAGTTCTGGGAGCCAGCAGCCATGTCAGCAGATGTGGAATGTGCCCTACCTTTGGAGAGAATCCAAGGCTTTTAATCATGGATAAAGTCACCTGCTTCCTGATTTATGCAGAACACTTTGGGAATGCCAATTGTTGAGCCATCACATCAAGACAGTCACTTAAGACACCATTAAGATAATGGAACAATTATCTTCCTGAAATAACAAAATGTATCTCCCCAAATCCCAAATTGGGACAGGCCATTTCCCCATCCCCTCCTCCATGCTGCAGCAAATGCCAAGGCCACCTATTCCCTTCTCTGCAAGGCTGAGCATTGCCACCTCCCAGCCTCTCCACTTGGTCTTCCACCCGTCCCTGGAGCCTGAATCACTTAGTGTCTCCTACACGGCACCTGGCACACACGGACACTTGAATGAAAGTTTGCTAAGGAGAGCAGTGATGTTGCCCGTCTCAGCTCTACAACTGTTCTCAGGCCTACCCCCACGTATTTTCCCCAACATCACTTATTTTTAAATGGCAGAGGACTGGAGCTTCTCAGACAAACTGCTTTAGGTAAAGCATCAAGACTAAACCAAAAGGCTACTGCGGGGTCTCTCAGCTCCCTTTCTTTTATCACCACCAGCAGTACCTTTTCAGATTCCTCTGCATTTTGCTGTCCCACCTTCTCTACCAGGACTCAGTCCCATGTGACGTTTTATCCTGGGTAGCCAGAGCCTCCCTTATAACCCTCTGTCCCCTCCGCCTGCCCTTCCCTGCCTCCTTTGCTATAGGAGGGCAGCGGTGGCTGCTCCTGCTGTGGAACAGCTGGAAATAGGTCAGGAAGCTGGAAGGTAGGCACACCTTTGTTTCAAAGCTTTATATAAAAAATTTGAGATGGAGTTGCCAAAATTAGGGGTAAAGCCTTAGCAGTTAGACCTTTGAGAAGCAGTAAAAGTGAGTCCTAAAATGTCAATGGTGAATTTTTCTAAAAAAATGTTAGAGAAACCAGGCCAGGCGTGGTGGCTCACGCCTGTAATCCTAGCACTCTGGGAGGCCGAGGCGGGCGGATTGTTTGAGCTGAGGAGTTCGAAACCAGCCTGAGCAAGAGCAAGATCCCGTCTCTACTAAAAATAGAAAGAAATTAATCGGACAACTAAAAATATATACAAAAAAAAAATTAGCTGGGCATGGTGGCGCGTGCCTGTAGTCCCAGCTACTCAGGAGGCTGAGGCAGGAGGATTGCTTGAGCCCAGGAGTTTGAGGTTGCTGTGAGCTAGGCTGATGCCACAGCACTCTAGCCCGGGCAACAGAGTGAGACTCTGTCTCAAAAAAAAAAAAAAAAATGTTACAGAAACGTATAAAATTACAAACTTTTGTCTTTATCTTGAGAAGATACATAGAAGTTAAAAGATTATCCAGATGTTTTCCTCTATTTATATAATCCAATATATCGGTACACTATACGAACAAGTGCCTACAGGAACCAGGCAGTTAATACAATGCAGCAGACTTCAGAGGAGAAAGACAGAGGCTCATCTGCTTCAGCCAGTTCTTGCCAGTGTACGTGGCACCATTGCTGCCAGATCTGATTTTTCAAGAGATGCTTTAAAATCCAGTTTGTATGTGTGTATATATGAGTATGTGCATGTGAAGTCTGTTGGTTTTACATTGTTGGCTCAATTTTTAAAAAGCAGACCAAACAAAACTTACATTCCACCTCTGCTCTGGACTTAGGGAATTTGTTCAGGGTGAGGGTTAAGAAAAGATGACAATGGAAAAGAGTTATCGGTCAAGTATTAAGTACTTGTATTTAGGGTTTCCTAAATGCAGTAGCGAGTGCTACTGTAGAATGGATTCTCTCCAGTCCATATGCAGTCCAATCTCCATATACATGCTAGGAACTCACAACTGAAATTCTCTTCGGTATAATCTGTGTGGTTTAATCTTCATCCTGCTTCCCTTTTTGAAGATCGGACTGAAGTTTCAGTTTTCTGTATCCACAGAGCTGACTTTGTTCAGGAAATTTGCAATGACTTAAGCAAAACCCAGTTGGTCAAGTCTGTCTTTTCCTCCAGGAACATGCAACTGTGTTCAGACAGTTTAGCAGGCTGGGGTGAGGGTGGAGACAAGACGAATAATAGGGGCTTTATCCAACCTCTAGCTAGGGATTTTCTAAGATACGGTCAACAGAAAATGAAACAAAGCTCAAGGTTACACCTGTGCTCAAATTTGCACCTCATCTTCCGGTGGCAAATTACTAATCTTCCTGTTAAAATGAGGTTCCTTCCTGAAATTTCTTGGAGATCTAGTATTAAAACCTATGCCGTTCTCTTGTAGATAATCAGAAATCAATTGGAAATTCCTACCTGAAGAGATAGAGATTCCTGTCCCACCTCACTCGTTCCAGCACCAATTTAGGAGGCGCCCCCTTCCACTGGAGGCCTAAGTGGCCAGTGCCCCAACTCACCTTCCGAGGTGTGTAGGGCCACACAGACAGCCAAGGCCATGACAGTGAGTCCTGTCTGCTGCATTCCTGCCTACCCCGCTGCCTCTGACAGCACCGCAGGTGAAGCTGTGCAATAAGGAAATGAGGCTAAACGTGTTCTTGGGTGCAGAGAAAGAGCGTGGAGGAAAAGTAAGCCAGGTAGCCCCGCCCTGGCAAGGGCTCAGGGTATCATCTCTCATGTTTCTTTCCTTAAGATCAGGCTCCTGCCTGACTTGTCAAGCTCCCAACTTGTGTTCACATTGCCTGAGGGTCAGGGGATGTAAGTGGTGATCTGGCAGCTGGTGAAGTCGTTGTGAGTTGGAGGTGTGTATCAGAATAATTTGGGAATCATTAAAAAAAATCAATGTACATGAATCTTCCCCCATGCCCCCAACAGATAAACCAGAATTCTAAGGTAAGGGACCAGTCATTTGAACTTTGTAAAAGCACCAACAGGGTACGGTGGCTCATGCCTATAATCCTAGCTCTTTGGGAGGCCAAGGTGGGAGGATCACTTGAGCCCAGGAGCTAGAGACCAGCCTGAGCAACACAGCAAGACCCCCTCTCTACAGAAAATAGAAAAATTAGCCAGGCATGGTGGCCGGCTCCTGTAGTCTCAGCTACTGGAGAGGCTGAGGCAGGAGAATTGTTTGAGCCCAGGAGTTTGAGGCTGCAGTGATCTATGATGATGCCACTGCACTCTAGCCTGGGCAACAGAGCGAGATCCTGTCTCCAAAAAAATTAAAGTTCCATAAGTGATTCTGATGAACACTTGTGGTGAGAACCTCTGCATAAAGGAATCAGAGTTTTTAAGTAGCTTATGGAAACTATGAGTTTCCGGGGACAAGGGTGACGAGGCATAAAAAAATTATCTGTGTGGAAAGATATGGAAAAATTTGACCCCACTCTGATCTTGATTCACAGCCAAATTGTTTCCAGTGAAAGCTTTTTAGTTTATTTAAGAAAAAGGTAAGACAGGAAGGGGGCAGTGCCTTGTAGAAAAGAGCATCAGAGCAGGCGTGAGGAGGCACGAGCTCCAGTACAGCTTTGCTGCCCATTAGCTTTGTGAATAAAAGCACTGGGTAGGGTGCAGGTCACCGGATTCCAATCCTGCCTCTTCTACTAACTAGTTGTGTAACCTCAGAAAATGTACTTAAATTTTCTGCAAATAACGAGTCAGACTGGATTACCTCCAAAGTTGTGTCATGCTTCCTCTAGAACTGTGCTACCCTGTGCGGTAGCCACATGCCCAAATTCAGATGTACTATAGGCATAAAATAAACACTAGATTTCAAAGAAAAATAATACATTTTTCTATTTTGCTAATAATTTTTATATTGATTACATGTTATTGATTACACGGTAATATTTTAGACATTGGGTTAAATAAAATATATTATTAAAATTAATTTCACCTATTTCAGCTTATGTTTTTAAATTAGTACTATAGTTTGAATGTTTTTGTCCCCTCTAAAACTCATGTTGAAACTTAATCCCCAATGCAAATTGTGTTGGGAGGTTGGGCCCAGTGTTTAGGTCCTGATGGCTCCACTGTTGTGAACAGATGAATGTTGCTATAAAAAAGGCTTGTGGGAATGGGTTGAGTCTCTTCTGCTTTTCTGCGAGGTGAGGACACAATGTTCCTTCTCTCCAAAGGATGCAGCAACGAGGTGTCATCTTGGAACCAGAGACCACACTTTCTGGTGCCTTGATCTTGGACTTTCCAGGCCCTAGAACTGTGAGAGAATAAATTTCTGTTCTTTATAAATTACCCAGTCTCAGGTACTCTGTTATAGCAGCACAAAACAGACTGAGACAAGTATATGTGTAATTTAAACTCAGAATATTTTAAATTACTATGTCACACATTTGCTTGGTTGTTGCTGTTTTAAGTCAAGAGCCCGGGGTCTGAATTGTCCCCAGCTGTCAAGTTGTGGTGTTTAACCAAGCTCCAATTCACTATCAAGAACTAGACCTATAATAAAATGAAGAATGGGAGCTTTGGAGGGCAATGGGCTAGCAAAGATGGTGACCTCCAAAATGAGAAGACCCAGGCACCCAGAGCAGCAGTTCCAGCCTCTGCCACTAATCAAAGGGACCTTGCTACAGGTCTTGGTAAAAGAGTACAGAGAACCTGCAGAGGCGACTGTCGAAGACCTGTGAAATTGTGGGCACCAGCCATAACCACAGCAGCCTCTCTGGATGAAAGCAGAATGCTCTGAAGGAAAAAGTCAGAGAAGCTGCACAAAAATTATAGTCTGAGACAGTCATGAAGATTTGCAAAAACAACACATGTGCCTAAACATTCACCAGCCTGCCAAGTGCCTGAAATTCCCACTCTTAGGAGTCCCTCCTGAGGATGACTTTCCTACAGTAGACAATAGCTTCTGTTCAGATGAAATGAAGGGTGACTACTGGGTAACAGGAGTGATTTTTAATCCAACAGGGTAAAATTTATGCAGAATTATTAGGGCACTGACGAGGAAGGCTGGGCTCAATTTGGATGAGCCTGCAACTACACAGGCCTTGTGTACTCAATTCATGTACCTCTTACTTGCTTCTGTATTTGATGGGCTAGCTTCTCTTTCACTGTGTGCATGTTTCTTCTGCCAGGAAATACTACCATAGCCCTGCATAGGCATGGAATCCAGGGACTTGGAGAGCAAAGGTGCGCTCCTCCGTGTGTTATTAGCGTTTTCCTCCCACTTCATACTCTTTCCTGGGGGCACTGGAATGGGATGGTGGGTTGGGTTGTGGTTACTGGAATACAGCTGGCATAACATGTAGAACCAAAAACATTAAAGCACTTGAGAAATTACCACCATCGGAATCACAACCTTGGGGCAGGGTGTTATGTCACTCTGGTGCTAAAAAGCAAACCTGACATTCACCAGCAGGAACCCATAAACCACTGAAAAACCCTATGTCACATCATTTTGTACTAAGACATGAATGAGAAGGACACTGGGTAGATCTGTTTTGATTCGGGTGAGGCATTTTTGTCTGGAGAGAACATAGTGCAAGTTATGATTATGAGGCATGTGTGTCTGTGCTTGAGAGGGGTGCTCACTAGGCAGGCAGGGACCACTGTAAACTAGGAAGGAGCCCAAAAGGGATGGATTTGGAAGAATAACTTTGATTATTTGAATATTTTTATCTGGGGTTGGGGATTCTACAAAACCAAATGAGAAGGAGATTGGGAAATGTGTGCCATTAGGGCCCAGGGCATAGCTGGAGGGCAGAGCCATGGAATGAAACAGTTGACAACCTACAACTATGCCTGGCTGTATGCTTTCTGTTATGAAATGTCTCTGGCTAAGAATATCTGGATGCAATCTTTTAGGAAAAAAATTTTTTTTTCTTTACCAGGGAGAACCAAGTAGTTTTTACTTTTTAAAAAGAAGCAAAGTGTTCTTTCAGGCACAGCTCCAGTGTCACTCTGTATGTCTCCCTGTCACCTATCCCTGCTTCCCCACCCTCTGCTAGGTGATCCTCTGCCTTCAAGGCTTGTTTCAGACAAGTTCACAACGCGTGAGAACCCAGAGGCACAGTGCACATCATGTAGGGTGTGATATGTACAATATATCAAGGATGGACAGAGGGCGGGCACAGTGGCTCACGCCTGTAATCCTAGCACTCTGGGAGGCCAAGGTGGTAGGATCATTTGATGTCAGGAGTTCCAGACCAGCCTGAGCAAGAGAGAGACCCTTTCTCTACTAAAAATAGAAAACATTAGCCAGGCGTGGTGGTGAGCACCTGTAGTCCTAGCTACTTGGGAGGCTGAGGCAGGAATCCCTTGAGCCCAGGAATTCAAGGTTACAGTGAGCTATGATTGGACCACTGCATCCCCGCCCAAGAAGAAATGGAGCTTCTCAAAAGATACGCCCATTTAAGTCACTTTTTAATATATATTGCCAAATTACCACACAGTGTTATAAATACTGTACATGCCTCTCTCCACCAATAAAGTGGGCCCAGTAAAGGCAGGATCTGTGTCTCATTCATCATTATACCCCCAATGCCTAGCTTGGTGCTCAGCAAATAGTAGATGCTTAGGGTCTGTTGAATGAATAATGAGTTGGATAACTCAAATAAGCAGGCCTTTATTACATGAGCAAAATCTTGCCAGCGTGGTCACAGAAGTTTACAATTGGTACTCTTGGCCTCTGCTGAGTATCTCTAGCCCAAATGGTAATACTATTTTAAATTTGCATTTCTCAGAAAGGATTTTCTATAAAATACTGAAAATAAGAAATTATACATTGGAAGAGGATTAGTTATAAAAATATATATCACCAGGGGATTTGTAGGTTTGAAACAAGGGTCAAGGGTAGTGCAAGTGTGTGTGTGTGTGTGTGTGTGTGTGTGTGTCTGTGAGAGAGAGAGAGAGAGAGAGAGAGAGAATTTCAGAAATCTGTGTTCTTAAGAAACAAGACAGAACATTTTCCAGCTGAGATGGCTTTTAGGAGAGCCAGGCCAGGGCTAGGTCCCTTTCAGTGCCGTGGTTCCGTGATTTACACAGTGTAATTAAATGTGTGATGGGGTTGGGCATCAGCTATGCCAAAGTAAACAGAGGAGAAAATGCAGCAGGACTAATTAGAAGGAACAAAGTTTGAACCTAGAGCCAAAGTAGGGAATTTCCCATGCATTGAATTTCTTATTCCTGGTTAACACTATAGTTTCCTTTCCCAGCTTAAATGTATAACTTTTTTTTGTTTGTTTTAGCATTCATGCTTTCCAGATATATGAATATCCAGATATATGAATGGATATATGAATATTCCAGATATATGAATAATCCAAATTCATTATCATTTTATTATAGTAACAGGAGTTAGGTGACTTGCCTAAGGTTAGTCAATAAATTGGGAAGCACAGAGCAGAATGGTACCTCAAGCTACTAAAAATAAAAAGAACACCCCCAGGAGAATCTGCAAAAGGAAAGCAGTGAAGGATGACAAGTTTTTCTGGATGTTAAGATATATTGTAAATCTACTGTAACTAAAACAGTGTGTCACCGATGCATAAATCCAGAAGCTATAACGCTTGTGTCAATTTAATATATTGTAAAGTTAGCATTTCACATGAGGGAAAACTGGATTATTCAATAAATGGTATTGA